TGGTCCGGCTTTGACGTCCTGAGTTGCTTGAGAAGCTTTTCAAAGTCTGGGTCCTGGCAGCGGTAGCTGTGAATGAACTCTGTCTTGAAGGTCTTTTGTTTCCAATAGTTGCTCTGCCAAGGCCGCTTGTCGCCAAAGCCGGACATCTGCCACTTGTCCCCGACGAAGACCAAGGCGGGTACTTTGTCCGCAGCTTCCCACAGCCGCAGGATTCGGTCGCTGTGCTGCGCGGTCAGCTGGGACACCTCGTCCACGACGATCAGGTCGTAGACAACCAAGAATGGCAGCTCGCCGGCGCAAACATCGTTCAGGCCGAAGGCCGCGTGACAGGTGTCTATGTCCAGGCCCGCGCGGCGCCCGTAGCGCTCGCGCATGCGGCTAGCAAGCTGCGCGGTCGGCAGCGCGAACAGCGCCTTGCCGCCGTTTGCAAGAAGTTCCTCGATTTTGGCGTGGCAGACCGTGGTTTTGCCCGTCCCAGGCGGGCCCATGCAGACTAGCGCCTTGGCCTCGGCGCGGGCCTGCGCCTGCGCCTCTTCCGGTTGTGCTGGATCCTCACTGCGCCCGCGCTGCGCCCTGTTCACCGCCTTGTCCAAGAGCTCCTTGAAGCGCCGCTGCTGGCGGTTGTAGTTGACCCCCGCGGCTGGCCGGACCGCTGCTGCTGCGCCTTGTTCGCCCCCTTCCGCCGCCGGCGCCTCCTCCGCGACTCGGCCGGCCAGGTAGTCCTCAATCAGCGTCTTGTTGGCTGCCAGCATGTCTTTGATGCTCTGCGCCGCCTTGCGGCTGTGGCCCTCGATCTTCAGCTCCAAGTCCATCTCTTCTGCGTTTTGCCCATAGCCGTGGAGGAAGGCCATTGTCAGGTAGCGGTGCTGCGGCGGGACTTTCTTCAGTTGTTCCTCATCTACGAAGTCGCTCAGCTTCTTGAAGGGCGTGTTCAGCGTCAGCCATTGGCCGTAGAATTTGTCGCCTAGTCTGGAGCCCATGTCGGCCGCAACCACCTTCTCGCCCTGCATCTTGTAGCGGGCCGCAAACTGTTCCAGGGCCTCGCCAGGCTCGGCCTGCGCGGCGTGCTTCTTCTTTAGCCAGGCGCTGACCCCGCCGTCCGCGTTCGTCTTTCTGAGGAAGTCCAGCAGGCTGATCTTGCCGCGGGCCCACGCCGCCGCCTCGTAGCGCCTCACCTCGTGGCGCTCAGAAAGGTTCGCGGCGTCTGGGAGCGGCACTACGAAGTCCCGCTTGCCTCCGCCAATGGTCGTGAAGTGCCACTGGCGAAACTTCGCGCCGAAGAGCTGGAGCACCATCTCGGGCTCCAGCGGGTGATAGCGCGACAGCACCGTGGTGGCAACGCTGACTGCGTCGGCGTCGTCGTTGAGCCAGTCCTGCAAGGCGGAGTCGGAGAACTTGGAGAGGTACTTCGTGACGTACTGCCTCAACATGCCGATCTTGTCCTCTCCGATCAGGAAGTCCTGGTGGCTCTTGAGCGCGTCCAGCACGTCAACAAGGTAGCCGCGCAGGCCGGTCTCGTGGTCTTCCGCCAGATGTTTCAGCTTCCAGGCCCCGGCCTCCTCCACAAAGCGGGTCTCCTCCTCGAACACCTGCCGGCCGCTGTCCTGCTTGTGGTCCAGCTGGGAGCCCTTGACGTAGCCGGCCATTTCCTCGTCGTTCTCCGGCATCGTGGCGCTGGCAATGTTCGGCATGTCCAAGGTTCTGACCAGCTCGTCGTCTCCGAAGACAAGGAGATGGACGTGGGGCCGACCCGAGCCGTGGTACTCCTGGGTCTCCTTCTTCCTAGTCCCATCCTGGAACTCCAGCCGCAGGAATCCGTGAAGGCGCCGCCCCTGGCCAGTCTCATCTCGGACCTTGAAGAGGTGGTCCGTCCATTCCTTCCGGGCGCCGGTGTCGCCCAGTAGGAAGCCCTTGGCTGTCTGCAGCAAGACGTGGGCAATGTGTAGCGTCTCCTCGACCGGCAGCCTCAGTCTACCCCGCAGCGCCTTGGCCATGCCGTCCTTGATGAACTCGTGGTAAGGCAGCGTCCACTCGGACGGCGCCAGTGTCCAGAAGAACTTTGGAAAGCCGACTTGCCTGACCAAGTCGACTAGGCCGTTCTGGACGCGCTTCCAATAGACGGGGCTGAAGCTCGAGCCGGCCATCATGAGCCTCATGGGCACGCCCGTGCCCAGGCTTCGCTTGGAGCCAAGATCCGTCCAGAGATGTAGGTCATAGACGTACTGCAAGATTTCGAAGTGCTCCGTGTAGCCCAGCAAGCAGCCCAGGGCCAGCGCGCCGTAGAGGCGCTTGATGCTGTGGCGGACAAGGTCCTCCTCCCCCATCTCTGCGTCCTCTTCTTCCCCCACGTCTAGGTGGGCCAGGGGCCGCAGCGCCTCCTCCAAGGTCTCGCCCCGCTGCCGCCTCGGATCAGTGGCCCGCTCATTGCTGAAAGTTTGGTCAAGCCGCCAGAACAGGCAGGGCCACAAGGCGCACTCCAGGCCCGTCTCTTCCAAGAACGCCAGCCGGCGGCGCCGGGCCGGTCTCTCCGTCTTGGGGTTCTCCTGCAGGAACTCCTTATGCTCGTTCAGGAACTTGCCGTAGGCGGAGTCCTCGCTGTGCTTCAGGAACTTGTAGGCCGCCCTGGCTTTCCGCTCGTCTGCCGGTCCTCCAAGCCCTTGATGGCCTCCTTGACGGGCTCCTCTTTCCAGTAGAACCTCATCATGGCCGCGTGCGCGCGGTAGCCTGTGCCGTGCTTCGCCCGCCGCTCAAAGCCCGTCAATCTCTAAAGGGCTCAGCGCCTTGGCCGCCTCCTCAGTCACGCCTCTCAGCTCCGGGACGTCCTCGAGCTTGGGCGCCGGGGTCTGCCGGGCGCCGCGGCAGCGGGGGCACTGTGAGGCCGGCGCGGTCAACTTCTGGTCGCGGGCCAGGGCCTTCTGCGTCGATCCCGCGCCAGCATCAGTCCGCAGTTCTCGCATTGGGCCCAGCTGTAGTAGAGGGCCCATCTCTCCAGGCCCGTCGCTCGGGCCGACCGTTTGGCCGGCGGCAGCGGGGCTTCGTTGTCCACCGCCGTGCCCGGGGCCGTCCTTTCCTTGGGCCGCCCGGCGTGCTTGCGCCCGCGGGCCCTGTCCGCCAGGACTTGCTCGCGATACGCCTTCTTCTCCGCCGCCGTGGCCCCGGCCTTGCTGGACTGCCGCTTTGCCAGCGCCGTCGCCCACCGCGCCTTGAGCTCCTCCGCGGTGGTCTGAGCGGTCGGGCGGCGGCCCAGGCGTTTCGGCTCGGCCGGCCGCAGCAGTCGCTCTATCTCTTCCTTGACGTCTGCGGAAATTCTCTCTGCGAGCATCTTTTCCCTGGCGGCCGGGCTCATCTGCTTCAGCGCGCTGGCCACCTCCTTGCGCCCGGCCGCCGAGTCATACTTTTCGCCCAAGGGCGCGGGGTTGCAGAAGAGACAGACTGTTGCCCCGCGCTGGTGAACTTGGGATGGGCCCCCTGTCTTGGTCAGCGCGAAGATGCAGGGCTCGTCCTCGAAGCCGACGCAGTATTGAGTTCTGCCCAGGCCGTTGCGGAAGTGCTGGCGGAACTCTTCCGGGATCAACTCCTCCAGGGCAATCCAGCGGAGGTTTGGGTCCGCCATCGCTTTCAGGCTCTGCAAGATGGCACGCCGGCCGGCCGCTGTCAGGCAAGCGGAGTCCATGGCCTCGTAGTCGCAGAAGACGCAGAGGTCCGCGGCCAGGCCAACTCGCATTCGGCCTCCGTTCTTGGCCCAGCAGCAGGCGAGGTTCCCACACACGCGCGGCATGGCTGTCCGAGGGTGTCCTTGAGTGGCCTGTCTTACTTCCGAGCCCGAGTTGCTGCAGGGTTTGACCGACAACTTGGCTAACTCCCAAAGCGGCCAATAGCGAGCGCTTCCTGCTTGCCTCTTGCTCGCGCTCTCTCTTTTTTTCCTCGGCCCGAGCTTCTGAGCGACTTGGCTAACTCCAAACTACGGGGCTCGCCCAACAGGATGGCGAACACGCCGACAACAAAAGCAACAATATGCGCGCGCCCTAAGCGCTCGCAGACTAGTCTTGCCGTCGGTTGTTTTTCCGCGTGCCAGGCTACGTCCAGTCTGTTGTTACTGGGAACGGCCTTCTGGAGCATTTTTTGCTCGAACTAATCTACATGAAAGCCAGCAGGATCTACAAAGTCGTCTGGAACAAAGAGCGAGCCCTCAAAACCGTCGATCACAAAAAGTAGCAGGATGCCTTCGCTGCCGCCCTGCGCCTCCTCAAGAAGACCTTGAGAGAAAAAGCCAACCTCAAGCCGGCTTGCCGCAGCCGCCAGGAAGCGCGCTGCCCTCCGCGCGCGCGCAGGAAACTCACGCGCGGCCGCGTCAAGGTAGATAACATCCTCGTAGTCCATGTCCGCCAAGTGACGGCGACGTTCCAGTCCCCCGCTGCCGGCCGCAGCGCCCAGTGACGCAACGCCGCCGCCTCGTACTTCTCGCATGGCCTAGACGCCCACTGCAGTGCTGCGCGAGCAGGCTCCATCAGCAGAGGCCACTGCAAAACCTCTTGGGTCAGGGGTCGCAGCCGCGCTTGCAGCTCTGACCGTCTTTGCGTCAACCCTCTCAGGCGCTCTTCCTGTCCGGCTCCACAGCGTAGCCAAGCAGCGCCGTCTGCTGCTGACAGCCAGCCCAGAATTGCCCCACGCAGAATCTCCGGCAGCCCCTGCAACACGGTCATGCTGGGCTTCTAAACGCGCGCTGGGGGTGCTTGAGCCAGAGTTTCCTCGACTCGCTTGCCCTTACGGCTTTCTGCAAATAACACCTGCGCCCAAGCGCCTCTCACTGCAAGCCCCAGTCAACACTCACGTCCATATACGCCCAGTCCCTTTTTAACATCCCCTACTATTGCAAGGCTCTGTCTAAGAATGGACGCCCGCGCCTCTTCGTCGCGGGCTCGGCTGGTTGGACCTCTACGTCGCAAGCTGCGGGGCCGTCTCTGTGCTTTTCGCCGGCCCCGTGACATTGCGCTGGCCCTTCACTCCTGCGGGAGCGGCTGCGCCTGCTGCGCGGCCCAGAAGCTCTTGCCCGCCGCAATGATGTCCTGCATGCGCTGCGCTACCGCGCCCCGCGCCTCTGCTTTGGCCGGCAGCTTCTTCACTTTGACCCCGAAGGCCTCCCGCACTTCGACGGGCACGTAGTTCAGGTGCTTGGCAAAGTCTTCCTGCGTCGCTGCCGCGCTCTTCAGAACCTCCTTGAAAAGCTGCCACTCCCCTTCCGCAGATTGAATTTCAGAGAGCTGCCATTTGCTCAAGGCCTGTGTCTGCTCTTCGTCGGGGTCTTCTGGCTCCGGCGAGTCCACCAGTACCTCTGCGCTCGCGGGCTTAGCCTTGTCCTTGCCCTTCTGCTTGCTCTTGTCCGCCTTCTTCCTGTCGCGCTCCTTCGCTGCCTCCTTCGTCTTCTGCTTCTTCTTCTTTTTCTTCTTCTCGTCGGAGGATATGGAACCGTGCTGCTGCCCGCTCTCCTCACTCGAGTCCTCCTTGTCGGTGGCCTCCTCGTCCTCGCTGTCCGCCGCAGACGAGTCCTCGAGCTTGGGCTTCTTCCTCTTACGCGTCAGCGACTGCTCGGAGAGCAGGCTCGCCGCCGCCGCCTCCAACAGCGCCCTGTAGCGCTTTGCCGTAGGCTTCTTCTTGAACGCGCCCGCCGCCGCTGCCGGCTGCTTCTCCGTGTTCATCTGCTGCGCCCACTCCTCCGGGTGCTGCGCCAGCGCCATCTGCTCCAGCGCGCTGGCCCCCAGCACAAACATGCGCGCCGCGCAGAGCACCATGCGGCGGGCCTCCTTGATTTTCGCTTCCGGGTCGTTCGTCAGGAAGTCGAGGTAGTTGGCGACGTGCTCGGCCGCCTTCGCGACGTCCTTCTCCGTCTCGTCGTCCTTGTTGAAAAAGCAGCACGCCTCCACGAACTTGGCCCCCTCGCCCTCGCGCAGGCGCTCCACGAAGCCGGCGCCGAACTTCTCAAGGGCGAGGTTGTCCTTCAGATATTCAGCCGCGTGCGCCACGCACGCGCCCTCCTCCGACAGATAGGTAGGCATTCGCCCGAGCGCCTCGCAGTTTGCGGAGGACCGCGACTTTGCCAGGCGCGCGGGCTTCAGCAGATCCTGTTCTGTCTTTGCTCCTTTGCCCCTGGGGATCCACAGGAAATTGCCCGCGCTGTCCGGGAAGGGCCGCAGCACGCTCTTGGCGAAGTGGCTGTAGAAGGGCACGGCGTTCTGCGTCTGCGTCTCGCCCGCTCCTCGCCGACTCTTCTTTACACCTCGGGCGCTCTTCTGCATGGCGCCGGAAAGAGGCCGCGCTCCTAAGGACTGGCCTGCTGCTTCGTACTTGTTCTTGATGGCTGCGGGATTCGACTCTACACTAACTGACGCACAGCGCTCTGCAGCCGTTCCGCGTTCGGTCTGCGGACGTGCTCGCACTTTTTCTCGCCAGCGCTCTCTCTGTCTCGTGACCCGAGCTGCGCCTGATCCGGGCGAGCTGGCTTAGTTGAAACATCGACGCTCGCGCCTCTTTGTCGCGAGCTCGACCGGTCAGACCTTTACTCTACAAGTTGCGAAACCGTCTCTGCGCCTCTTGCCGGCCCCGCAGTTACTGGCGCTGGCTGGCTGTTTTTTGCCGCCGCTCTACATTGCCGGGAAGGTCGCCGACAAGGCGCTGAACTCAAAGACTGAGGCGCTCTTGGCTTCGCCGCGTTCACACCTCAGGCGCGCGCGGCTACTGGACTGCTCCGCCGCGTTGAGGCGAGCGCCCGTTGGAGCAGAGCTAAGAAGGACTGAGGCTGACAGTCGGCTTGAGCCAAAAAGCACTTGTTGGAAGCAGCGTCTGATTTTTGGCGGGATGAACAACCTTTTTCTCCTCTTCGAGACAAGCATATGACTACTGGCAGGATCAACCAGGTTGTTTGCTTTTGTTTTCTTTCTTCTCGTTCTTTTCTTTTCTTTCTTTCCTTTTCCAGTTTTTTCTTTTCGAATTCTCTTCTTCTTTCAATATGATCTGTTGCGACTTTTCCGAGAAGAAATTTCGTTGTTGTTGCGGAATGTTCCGCGTTTCGTTTCATTTTTTCTTTCGTTTTCCGTTTTTCTCTCTTTGAGACAAGCATATGACTACTGGCAGGATCAACCAGGTTGTTTACTTCTGTTTTTTCTCTTCTCGTTCTTTTCTTTTCTTTCTTTCCTTTTCTTTTCTTTTGTCTCAGTTCTTTCTTTGTTTTCTAATTGTCTTCCTTTTTCAAAATGATTTGTTTGCATCTTTTCGAGAAGAAATTTCGTTGTTGTTGCGGAATGTTCCGCGTTTCGTTTCATTTTTTCTTTCGTTTTCCGTTTTTCTTTCTTTGAGACAAGCATATGACTACTGGCAGGATCAACCAGGTTGTTTACTTTTGTTTTCTTTCTTCTCGTTCTTTTCTTGTCTTTCTTTCCTTGTCCAGTTTTTCTTTTCTAATTCTCTTCTTTTTTCAATATGATTTGTTGCGACTTTTCCGAGAAGAAATTTCGTTGTTGTTGCGGAATGTTCCGCGTTTTGTTTCATTTTTTCTTTCGTTTTCCGTTTTTCTCTCTTTGAGACAAGCATATGACTACTGGCAGGATCAACCAGGTTGTTTACTTTTGTGTTTTCTCTCCTCTTTCTTTTCTTTTTTCTCAGTTCTTTCTTTTCTAATTGTCTTCCTTTTTCAAAATGATTTGTTGGTATCTTTTCGAGAAGAAATTTCGTTGTTGTTGCGGAATGTTCCGCGTTTCGTTTCATTTGTTCTTTCGTTTTCCGTTTTTTTCTTTGAGACAAGCATATGACTACTGGCAGGATCAACCAGGTTGTTTACTTTCGTTTTCTTTCTTCTCTTTTTCTTTCTTTTCTTTCTTTCCTTTTCCAGTTTTTTCTTTTCTAATTCTCTTCTTTTTTCAAAATGATTTGTTGCTACTTTTTCGAGAAGAAATTTCGTTGTTGTTGCGGAATGTTCCGCGTTTCGTTTCTTTTTTTCTTTCGTTTTCCGTTTTTCTCTCTCTGAGACAAGCATATGACTACTGGCAGGATCAACCAGGTTGTTTAATTCATTTGTTTTCTTTCTTCTTGTTCTTTTCTTTTCTTGTACTTTCTTTTCTTTTTCTTAGTTCTTTCTTTGCTCATTTTCCCAAATTCGTTTCTTTTTTTCCTTCTTGCTGGCTATCGCGAGCGGTGTTTGTTGTGTGTGTTCCCCCTAAGAAAGGGGGAAACTAAAGGGGGTCGATCGACCCTAAACCCGGTAAGGTTGAGGAATGGGTGGCCAGGGGTGGGTCAACCGCATAACGCGCGGCGCGCGCCGCCCGCGACGCTCTGCGTCGAGGCGCGCGCCCCGCCTTGCAAACCCTAAACCCTAAACCCTAAACTTAAAGCGCGCGCCTGGCGCGCGCCCCGCAGGCCTCGCCCCTGCCGGACAGCGCGCGGAGGGGAGCTTTGCCTGGCAGACGCTCCCCGAGCTCAGCGCACCCTCGTGGGCCCGCTCGCCTCGCTGGGCACTATTAGTATAAGTAATACCCTTATCTCTCGGACCGAGACTCTGAAGGGGCACCTCTAAGGCCCGCCTTGGCTTGATAAAACGGCCATTGGCCTTGATAAAATGGCCATTGGCTTTGATAAAACGGCCATTGGCTTCATATTACGGCCATTGGGCTTGGCCGGCCTTGATAAAACGGCCATTGAGGCTGGCCGCCTTGACAAAGTGGCCGCTGGGGCTGGTTTTGATAAAAAAAAAAATAGCTCGGCCGGCTGCTGATAAATTCTTTATACGGGATTCTGCGAAACTGGCCATCTGTAGCCCAAATTTGAAGATCTGGCCATTCGGCCGCTTCTGGCCGCAAATCCTTGATAAAACGGCCATTGAGGCTGGCCCGCCTTAATAAAACGGCCATCGGCCTTGACTGCGGCCGCCTTGATGAAGTGGCCACTGGGTAGTGGCCGCTGAGGGCTGGTTTTGATAAAAAATACACCAGCATAGACCCCAGATAGCACACCACGGATACGAACCATGACGCAGCATTATCATGATGATGTAGACCATGATGACACCACAGCCACGAAACAAACGCGCAGACAACGTCCTAATGAGATCAGCAGCACAATGATGATTTGAGAGCAATCCGGCAGGAAAAAGCAAAACGAGGTCCTGATGAGTTCGACAGCATCATGATGACGCGGACAGCATCATGATGATGCGGACAGCATCATGGTGATGCGAACAGCATCATGCTGATGGTAAAGGCAGCATCATGATGATACCACAGCCACGAACCATCTTGCGACAGCTTAATGAAATTCTGCATCATCCTGATGTTGACAGCATCACGGCGCCACTACACCCACACACCATAACGTGGGAACATCATGACGATACACCAGCCACGAACCGTTACACGCGAACAGCATCCACCAGCACCCCAAACATGGCCCCTAGCGCCCGGTACAACCAAAGCAGCATCCACCCGCGCCATGCCCAGCAGCATCCACCAGCACCCCAAACTGCATGCCCCCTAGAACCGGCCGTCAAGCTCGCAAAACAGCATCCACCAGCGGCCAGGTCGCAAAACAGCATCCACCAGCACCCCAAACTGCATTCCCCCCAGCACCCAGCGTCAAGCTCGCAAAACAGCATCCACCAGCACCCGAACTGCATGCCCCCGAGCACCCGGCCGTCAAGCTCCCCCACCCGCCCGTCAAGCTCGCAAAGCAGCATCTACCAGCACCCCAAACTGCATGCCCCGTAGCACCCGCAAAGCAGCACCCACCAGCACCCCCAACTGCATAGCACCCGGCCGTCAAGCTTGCAAAACAGCATCCACCAGCACCCCAAGCTGCATGCCCCCTAGCACCCGGCCGTCAAGCTTGCAAAGCAGCACCTAAGAGCACCCCAAACTGCATGTTTTGTAGCACCCGGCCGTCAAGCTCGCAAAGCAGCACCCACCAGCACCCCAAACTGCGTGCCCCCTAGCACCACCAGCACCCCAAACTGCATGCCCCCCGTGCCCCCTAGCACCCGGCCGTCAAGCTCGCAAAGCAGCACCCCACCAGCACCCCGCGCTGCATGCCCCCTAGCACCCGGCCGTCAAGCTCGCAAAGCAGCACCCACCAGCACCTCAAGCTGCATGCCCCCTAGCACCCGGCCGTCAAGCTCGCAAAGCAGCACCCACCAGCACCCCAAACTGCATGCCCCCTAGCAGCCGGCCGTCAAGCTCGCAAAGCAGCATCCACCAGCACCTCAAACTGCATGCCCCCGAGCATCCACCAGCACCTTAAACTGCATGCCCCCCAGCACCCGGCCGTCAAGCTCGCAAAGCAGCATCCACCAGCACCTCAAACTGCATGCCCCCTAGCACCCGGCCCTCAATCTCGCAAAGCAGCATCCACAAGCACCTCAAACTGCATGCCCCCTAGCACCCGGCCGTCAAGCTCGCAAAGCAGCATCCACCAGCACCTCAAACTGCATGCCCCCTAGCACCCGGCCCTCAATCTCGCAAATCACTTCCCCTCTTTAATAGAACTTAGAACCCCTATAGCTTTCAGCTATCTGGGGGAATAGCTCGGCCGGCTGCTGATAAATTCTTTATACGGGATTCTGTGAAACTGGCCATCTGTAGCCCAAATTTGAAGATCTGGCCATTCGGCCGCTTCTGGCCGCAAATCCTTGATAAAACGGCCATTGAGGCTGGCCGCCTTAACAAAACGGCCATCGGCCTTGATAAACTGGCCATCGGGCTTGGCCAGCCTTGATTAAACGGCCACTGGGGCCGGCCGCCTTGATGAAGTGGCCACTGGGTCTTGTTTTCTTCGACGGTCTTTGCTTGGTTTGGGCGTTGAATTTATGGGAATCCCCTTAGGCAGCGCCTTGCGTTTTTGCTTGATTGATTGTCGAGGCAGTCGATTGTCGAGCCTTAGGCAGCGCCTTGCGTTTTGGTTTGCTTGATTGTCGAGGCAGTCGATTGTCGAGGCGATCTCGTTTTCTGCGACGGTTTTTGCTGGGTTTGGGCATCGCATGTGTCGGACTCCCCTTGGGCGGCGCCTTGCGTTCTGGCTTCATTGGTTGTCGAGGCAGTGTTGTTTTCTGCGACTGTCTTTGCCTGGCCCGACTTTATCGGAGTCCCCTTAGGCAGCGCCTTGCGTTCTGGCTTAATTGATTGTCGAGGCAATTTTGTTTTCTGCGACGGTCTTTGCTTG